CACACACACACACACACACACACACACACACACACACACACACACAATGTGATGTCATTCAGTGGCCTTTGATGCATTTTTTAGCTATATTATATATTTTGCTATAAGAACCTGCTGCGAGGATGAAGATAATTTTTCTAAATGTCAGCCAACCCTCTTTTAGATCTTTTGAATCTGGTGACATGATCAATCATTTTATTTTTTATTATTATATATATTTTTAGAAGTACTCTGTTTTTGTCTGCAGTGTGGCTGCCTGAGCATCGACTCAGACCGATTTTAAGATTTTACTTTTTAAAGTTTTAAAAGTTCTGGCTGCGTCATATTTATGGGATCTGCTTAACATTTGCTCAGTTCCAGATCCAAACTGAAGTCCAGAGGTGATCAACAGAGGTGTTGCTGCTCCAAAGGAATAGTTCACTTGATCATTTAAAGCCCTCTGGCACTGCTGAGACTTTAAATCTTTGTCGAAGACTTGTCTTTTTGTCTCTGGCGTTGCAGACAGAGTTTGAGAGTTAGAGCTGAGTTTCCTTGTTTGTTTTATTTTATTAACTTTATTTGATTAACTTTCTTGAGTTTCCTTGATGACACTAGATTCATTTTCTTGTTCTTCTTTCTTGTTTTCATCTTAATTTGACTAAACTGTAATGGGCTTTGATCAATTTTTGTGTGCTATATAAATACATAAAGTGATGGTGACATGACTCATGTATGGATACTTCATGTTAATGGAGCAATGAGTTAAAATGAAAAATAAATAAATAAATAAATAAGTTTAAAGTTGAAGCAAAAACTGGGTGCCAGAAAATAAAAATCTCACAAGGGAGACTAAACTGCAGCTCAAAATGTGTTGTGAGAACATGAATGTGGCACGGTGTGTGGCCAGTGTGTGCACGTGTGCATGTGCGTGTGAAGGAGACAAAGTGAGTAAAGCTGTGTTGGCATCAAACAGAGCCGGGCTTGGACGCAGCTCTGTGCGTAAAGAGCGCAACTCGCGTTACCAAATCTCCCTCAGACACTTGTTCTCTGTGCAGCTCTGACACGGACACTGCGGGTTATAGCATTTATATCATATGTGGCAGGACGTGACCCCCCCCCCCCCCCCCCCTTGAAGTCTCCCGGGTTACGTCCAGTCCCGCGCGTCACTGCGGCGGACTGATCATCCATCAAGAGTCAATAGTTAACGTTGTCTTTGTCCAATTTCCATCCATCATTAGCAGGCGCGCGCGCACGCGCTCTTTATAGCGCGATACCTCCTACCCCGCTGGCCCCCTTGACCCTGCCCAGTCCTCCACCTTCTCCTCCCCTCGCCCCTTTCTTCCGCCCGAGCAGCGGGGGGTAAAAAAAAACTCCAAGTGGGAGACGACCTGCGCAGCTGCCCCCCCCCCCCCCCACACACACACCACCACCACCTTTTTATTCCCTCCACTGACCCACCCCCTCCCCTGCCTCGTGCTCCCCTCATGACGATGAGCGCGTTTTTTATTTTTTCCTGTCAGGTAAATGGAGACCCAGAGGTCGCAGTCAGAAGCCGGATCCCGTTACCGGCGCGCTCATGACGCAGCGTCGCGGCGCGCGGGGGACTGGTGGGGGGTCTGGGGGAGGCGGAGGGTGGGGGGAGGTTGAACTTGGCTACATTTTTTTCCCCTTCTATCCTCACACATATGCGCGCCCGCGCTCTGCCATCCACTCAGTGTGCCAGTTGGTTCTTCCTCCGTGCCGCCCTGCAAAGACGACATGTTCTGTCAACAGGGCGGCTGGAACACACACCCCCCCCACCACCACCACCACCACCACCCGAGGCACACAGGACCGTCAGGTTTGCGTGCGTGCGGATCCACCGTGAAGCTTTGAAATGCGCATTTTGCCCACGGGGGGGGGGGGGGGGGGTCTGAATGTTGGTGAGGCCTTTAGCTTTTCAGTTGGTCTCCGGGGCGTGCCCCGCACACTGAGGAGGAGGGGGAGGGGGGGGGGCGTGTGCATCCCAACACACAAACCACTTTGCTCTCTGTGCCATTCATTCCAGGCTCAGGGGCAAACTGTGCGCGTGGATGTGTAGAGAGCCGGGCTCCACAATCCTGGAAAGACTGAACGTTAACCCACCAGCCTCCAGCCGGCAGACACACCGGGCAACAAGTGACGCACGGACGCGCGCCTATAGATCAAAGTCGGGTCACACTCGGACCTGCAGCAGAAGATGGAGCGCAGAATCCCAGATTTCTCCGGCACGTGGGAGATGAAGAGCTCTGAAAACTTCGAGGAGCTCCTGAAAGCTTTGGGTGAGTGAAGCAACCGCAGTCAGCCACCATCAGTCCGTGCTGCATGCTGGGGTGAGGGACTGGGCGGGGGGGGGGGGGGGTGTTGTGCTTGACCCCCAGCCAGCCTCTACCCACCTCTCATCTCCCCTTTTGTCCTCCCCAAACACAATAGAGACAAACGGCGGCACATCTGTCTGTGTCAGCCACAGATTGTGCGCGTCCGTCCGTGCGTGAGTCCGAGGTGGACCGTTATGACGCAATACAGTTCAGAACTGTAGCATTATCTGAAGCCGCAAGACCTGCTGCTGGGGTCAGGTCCGGGTCTTTGTCTGTCCCATCCGAGCCTCTTCCGAGGTACGGGTGCGCGCGGTGTGGACTTCAGTTGTGTTTAATTAGCACGACTTTCCAGCGCGCACCTGGCCTTCAGGTGCGCGCAGCGCAGTGAGTGATAGAACGCACTCTCAGTGCTCTTCTCTGGATCTCTGACATTTTCTTGATCAGACATCCTGTTTCTGTCAGCTTTGATTGACAGCCAGGAGCAGCTCCTGCAGCTGGATGCTGCATGTCACCACACTCCTCTTTCCATCCTCTCTCTGCCTCAAATACTTCCTCTGCTGTTTGACCTCTGACCCTTCCTGCAGTCAGGGGTTGACTGGTCCCAGTTCTGCAGAATGATTCGAGGTCAAATTCTGTGACAAAAGGAGGCAAAATTTAAAAAAATGTTCAAACCAAGGGCCAGTTTTCAAACTTGAAACAAATGTTTCTTGATGTCATGGTTGGCCAGCTGTCATGAGGAGTCTGTACTAAATACAATATGCTCAGTTTTAAAGTCAAATGAGAAGCGATCAAAGTGTTTTCCATTTAAAATATCATGGGGGCAGAGAAGATGTCATTAGGCTTGGGCCTTGATTTGATGTGTTGTTTAATTTGTGGTTTGGCTTGAGTTGTGAGTTATTTATGTTTTAGTTTTCATTTATCAGATTGAGTTCAACTCCTCGTGTCAGTGCTCCCTTCAGCCCTCCTTATTTGTCACTTCTCCACCTGCCCCCACTCAGTAATTATCCATCCCTGCTGTTAAGTCTCATTTAGACTGGACAAAACCTAACACGGCCCGAAACTTGTCAGATATGTTAAATAAAGTCACAAAACGTCAACCTCGCCCACGGTTTCCAGAACATATCGTGGATGAGTCGAGGCCACCGTCCTTCAGTTGGTTGGAGTTTATGAATCAAGTCCATTTGGTCTGGCTCCCTCTACAAGCACGACACTACCTCATCGCACCGTGGTGCTGCTTTATGCGTAGCATTTTAATGCATGTTGTATATTATATATTTTTAGGTAAATACCAAACAAATGCTGGCAGGTTTTTAAACTGGTGGGTGGAGACGCGGTCATCAATGGCCTGCAGTCTGCTGACGCTGAATCTTCAGCTCCACCACCTAAAGGAAAGACCCTGAAGCCACGCCGAGTCGACCCGAGTCAAGCCCAGACAAAGAGCACGTCTTCACACACCCAACCGTTGATTCCTGTCTTTACATCAAAATGTAGGAAATTTATTCACGAATTAAACTTAATGAAGAAAGTGTTGAACATGGCTGCTTTCAATGGACCTTGGACCCTCGTTACTGCAGGAAGTGACGATGAAGCGCAACATTAGAAATGAAAATGAGATTAAAATGCTCATCAGTAAGAATTTGAAGAAGCCTTTTCACAAAACCCACTTTGATTTATATCCACAGCCCCACCGTGACACGGATGCGATGCGGGTCGGACGCGGTGACTCTGCGTTTGTGTGTATATTTGCACTCGGTGACACTCGGGAATGTGTGCCAGGTGTGTGAAACCAAACATACAGAGTATGCACACTTCCCCTCGGCCTTGGACAGAGATCTTCACACACCACACACAGACCTCTGCCCCTCAGCCGTCTACAGTCCTCTCCTCATCCCCTCTTCATTCCCAAACATTCCTTGCTCTCTCCTCCACTTTTCTCTGTTCCTCTGCGTTTAACGAGGCTAATCAAGGTCGGCACATATGCAGCACGTCTGCATCACAAGATTTCAGTCTGTTTCTGACAAAGACGGAAATAAAAACTGATTATTTGTTGCTGGAAGTTGGAAGAACAAAAACCAAGATTGCAGAAAGTGCAAGCAGTCGCATTAGCCCGAGCGTTTGAGGCTGCGAGTGTGTGCTAGTGTGTGTTCAGGGATGATTAAGTCTGAGGAGAATTCAGATGGTCTTTGCCTGATGACCTCGTTGTTTCCTCTGCTGTGATTATTGGTGATGCAAGTCTCCTCCTGGCGCAGGAGAACCCCTGAAAACGAGCAGAAACACTCAAACGCAACATGAGAAGTGTTTAGTGTGCAGCCTTGTGGTTTTGTTCCTGTAGAACGAGTTCAGATTAATTAGTTTTGTCGCGGCGTCTACACAGGGACCTGCTCATTCAAATCTTTCGTCTCGTTTCAGGCGTGAACGTGATGCTGCGCATGATCGCAGTGAAGGCTGCCTCGAAGCCGCTGGTAGAGATCACGCAGGATGGAGAGAAGCTGTCCATCAAAACGTCCACCACGGTCCGCACCACCCACATCACCTTCACCGTGGGGCAGGAGTTCAACGAGAGCACGGTGGACGGCCGGCCGTGCACGGTAAACACCATGGTTGTCCCTGAATACGCTCCGGCTCTGCACACGGAGGCTGCGGTGCAGGACGCTGTCCAAACAACAGACAGATGTTGCATTTGGCTTTTTGTCACAGCCCTTTGCTCTCAAAAGGCCCATCAAGTCATTTGCTTTGCTGTCCTGTTTCTACATCCCATCCTCTCCCCCATTGCCCTCCCTAATACTCCCGCTCCTCTCCATCCCCCCCCCCCCCCACACACACACACCCTATGGCCTCTGTGTGGCCGTCTCCAAAGCAAACACATGCTCAGCCAGGGCTTCAGTCAACTCCTGATGAGCGCATCACAACTTATCACCACTCAGCCTTACCGTGTTCTCCTGACCAGCCCCCCCCCCCCCCCCCCAGCCAAATAAATAAATAACATTTTCTCCTCAAATTACAATAATAATATGAATGTTTATGAAGTATTCACACTATTGTGATCCATTTTCTTCCATACATTTTTCCAGCATCTTTCTTGTTCCACAGTTTTTCTGCTATTTCAACAAATCATATCAAAACGTTCAGCTCATTCGGGTGCTATGACTTTTGATATTGGAACAACTTTAGCTTTTTGAAATATTTAGCCTTTTCTGCCATTTTTTTCTAAAGAAAATGAATTGAGCTCATTTTACATCTTTCAGATCTTTAGCTCTGTTTAGAACTGTCACATTTTGTTCTGCTTCAGCTTCTTTCAGCTTCCTTGTGCAAAAATAAAAAAAAATTCAGCTGCTTTCAGCTACTTTCAGCTGTTTTTCCAACTGTGTTGTGCTCCTTTCAGATTCTTTCAGCCTAATTGGTCAAACATGGGTTCTTTCTGCTTTCTTCTGCTAATTTAAGCTTGTTCTACCTTTTCAGCTACCTTTTTAGCTAATTTCATTTGTTTTCAGATGAATTCAAGTTTGTCGTGGTAATTTTTGCTACTTTAAATCAACCGGAAATTAACTTCTTTATGGTATTTTCACCAGCTTGTTATGCTCCTTTCTGCTTTTTTCTGCTAGTTTCAGCTTTTTTTGCTATTTCATCTACTTTTCAGCAAATTTTTGCTAATTTCAGGTTGTTGTTTTTTTAGCTAATTTCCGAGTTGTTTTTGCTTATTTTTTATTATTTAAACCTAATTCAGCAAATATGTGTTCTTTCTGTTTTCTTCTGCTAACTTAGGCTTGTTATTCTATTTCATCTTCTATCAGCATGTTTTGTAGCTAATTTCAGCTGTTTTTCAGCAAGTTCTTCAGCAATATGCATCCACACTGCATTTTTGCAGGAAATTTAATTTCTCCAATTTGTTTAGCATTCGTTCAGACGTTCATGCAGTGTACCAAAACGTTTTACACCTTCTTGGTTTTGCAGAGTTTTCCACGCTGGGAAACGGACTCTAAGATCAGCTGCGAGCAGATTCTGCAGAAAGGAGAGGGACCCAAGACCTCCTGGACCCGGGAGATCACAAGTGACGGCAAGCTGATCCTGGTAAATCACACAAAGCGCCGACTAAAACAGACAATTTAGATTTTAAGCAGCATTCGAGGCTATCTTAGCTGAAAGTCAGCTGTTTCCAGTGGCGTTATGGTGTTTGGGTTTCTAAAGTGCTTCAAGTTAAAACTGAGGCCTTGGGGGGCCACGAGGTTTCTGGGTTTGACATGAAGACACACTGATCTTCATCTACAGAATTTTATAGGAGGAGGAGATGCTTTCTGCTGCTGGATATGACCTGAAAATAGAAGCTAAGCAGATTTTTTTTTAATAGACTATTAGGCTAATACAGTACATTCATTTTATAACATGATCAAATGATGGATGAGTTGAGTTTTACGTTCAGTTATGACTTTTTTCCAGCACATGATGAATTACACTGCCTGGCCAGGACAAGGTCACACACTCTAATATTTCATAGGACCTTCTTTATCTTTCATTACGGCACACGTTCTCTGTGGCATCGTTTCCTCAAGCTTCTGCAGCGTCGCAACATTTATATCTGCATTAATTTTTCTGCACGATCTTGTACTGATGATGGGAGATTTGGACCGTTGCTCAAAGTCTTCTCCAGCTCATCCTAAAGGTTCTGATTGGGGTTCAGGTCTGGACTTTGTAGTGGCCAATCAATAAGTGAAAATGCCTCAAGCTCCCTGAGCCACTCTTTCACAGTTTGAGCTCGACGGATCCTGGCATTGTCATCTTGGAACACACCCGTGTCTTCAGGGAAGAGATAAATCTGTTGATGGAATATCCAGGTCGTTCAGTATATTCAGGTAGTCAGCTGACCTTATTCTTTGTGCACATAATGTGGCTGAACCAAACCAGATCAACTGCAGCAACCCCAGATCATAGACTGACCCCACAGGCTGTGTGGTGAGCACTAGGCATGATGGATGCATCACTTCATCTGCCTCTCTTCTTATCCTGATGTTCACTCCCCATCGTGCTTCCAGTTATTAATCATGACTTCTTAACCTGATGGTAGTGTTAGCAACAATGACATAATCTGAAACAGAATCACTCATGCAGTAATTATCCAAGGACAGGCTCTTACCTATTTAGTTAAATCCAGATAGGGACCTTTATTTAGTTTTTTTTTTTTTTTTGGACAGGCTGTGTAAGTAGATAAATAGGTTTAATAATATTATCAATATTACCAGACTATCCAACAGTTCATACCATATTCATCAAATTAAAAGACAAATCTACATTTCATTCCACCTGACACAGTTTATATATATAAAAAAGTAGATCTATAAATCAGAGGTGAATCTCTCGTAATAATGTGTTTGTCAAATAACCAAAAACAACGTGACAAGTCTCCTTACCCCCCCCCCCCCCCCACCAACCTACGTCAACTACACCATTAAACATTTCTGAAGCTAAAACAAGTTCTGTACCAATTCAGCCTTTTATTTTGAAGCTGAATCTTTTGAGACCTGTGCTTACTGTGATCCACATGAATCATTCTGGCTGTCCTGTCTTTGTTTGTTTCAGACCATGAGGGCGGACGACGTCGTGTGCACCAGAGTTTACGAACGAAAATGAGGAGCACTTCTCATCTATTGTCCTTCCAGCTCCCCAACCCGTCCACCTTAGCGTCACCACGTCCATCGTCACATTGTATTTGTACCGGGAGACAACGAGCTGTAGTTTTATTCCAGTTTCTCTGTTAGCTTCACTGTCTAACTGTCGTATTTACATTATAACATGACCCATCCAACCTGCGAGCTCTTCCAGATAGTTCTCTGCTCTGCCTAGACTTTTTCTATCCTGTGACAACATTTTATATTTATTACGTCACTACACCTGTTTATTTTTTTAACATCGTGTCCCTTTTTTTAATTAAACATGAATGTAGGAAAACAACACTTTACTACTGGGGTGGACAATAAATTGAGTTAGCTCACTTGGACGTCAACGTTTGGCTCTCCTGGGCTGAAAACCACCCGGAGCAGAAAAGCGCTCAGTGGTGAGCGTAGCTGCAGAATGTGTGCCACATTAAATGCCTCTGTCTTATTTTTAGGTTCTCTGTCAGCTGTCTGCAACTAGAATAACTTATTGGCCCCCACTCATTTAAACATTGTCACCTCCTTCTCGGTTTTTCTGTCTCTTATCTGGTTGTCTGTTAGTAAAACATCTCATGAACCACTGGACTGATTTTAAGGGAAATTAGCAGAAAGTAACCACTGGGTGTACAACTTCTGAGTTCAAGCCACCACAGATGACCAAACTTAATGAACACATAAATGGCTATAACTAAGTCCATTTTAAAGACTGTCAGATCAAATTTGGTGTGGTATTAGTTTAGATTCAGCCCCAACACATACATCGAACCATAAAAGAGCTCACAAAACTCTGGCCTGCAAGACATCTTTTAAAAATGGTCTTGAACCAGTGGCGATTTTAGCCTTGTTTTGGGGTTACTCAAGCACCCTTAAATTTTAACTCAGCACCCCTGAAAAATTAGAAACCATCATTAAGATTTTGTAAGGAAACTCAGTTCTCAAACCTTAGGGTGCATTCACACTAGCCCTGTTTAGTCCGCTTTAATCAAACTCTAGTTCGTTTGCCTAGAAAGTCCAGTTCATTTGGGCATGTGTGAATGCGCAATCGAACTCTGATATGGATCAAAAAATCAAACTCTGGTCCACCTAAAAACCTAGGTCTCAGTTTGGTTGACGTGAACTCTAGCACGGTTCAAATGCAGTGTGAATGCAAGTGGACCGGAGACCGCTCCAAAAGCAGGAAGTGGACTACAGCACAGGGCAAACAAAGACGCATTTCTCTTACCTCATATGGAGCCATCTCAGCAGCCTTGTGTGCAAAACAACATTCTCCATGGTCTTCTGCCTCATCTTCTGCTCATTCTGAGTCCATTGTTGAAAAATGACAAAATAGAAATCCTAAAACTGCTAAAATGTGATGCCACTCCATTTTTGTTTTTATTTCCAGAAGAAGAAGAAGTATCTTCTTCAGGGGTTTTTGTGTCATTTCCTTCAATAGTTTTTGGTGCAGCGCTACCACAGGCGAGGGGGGGAACAGGTTGGCTCAACTGACAGTGCAGTGTGAATGCAAACCGCACCAGCTGAAGATGTAAACAAATGTTCCGAATTGTGGTCCCCAATTGAACTGAGTCTACCGGACTATCAGGTGTGAAAACGACCTTAGATTTACTCAAATATTGAATACATTTGGAATAAATATGAAATAAATGATGATACTCTTAAACGGGCCAGTAAAGTCTATGATTTTTTTTTTTTACACAAATCATATCCTCAATGCCACCTGTCAATCAATCCAGTAGGCTCGTCATCTGACCAATCAGCGACCTCAACTTTTTCCCCAAATGAAATGCCCCTTACCTGCAGGAACTGGGGGTGGGGGTGCTAGGTTAGGATGTGTAAGATAAATGGAGCACTATGTCTGTAGCATCTTAGCTAGCGCATCTGTGTTGTGAGCTGCAATACAGTTGTTGACGGGGGGTTAGGATGCCTGAAAGAACTGGAGCGTGCTCTATGCACACAAGGAGAGCTGTTAGTCAGGCTACTTCTTGTTGCGCTCTAAAATAGTTGTTGATTCAAGTGTTTACATATGTAGATAAAAGTAAATGTTTAACAACCCGTTAAAATACGCCGAATGCAGAAAATGGCATCTATCTTCTGGGGGAGGACCCCCCACCAGTGTGTGCCCCCAACCCATTACAAATGCTTCTGATGCCAATGTGTTGTTCAAGTCAAGAGCCACTGTCAACGCTGGTAGCTAAGCCCCACTAAAGGGCAGACTCTAGAATCACCCCTGTCTTGAACCATTGGTTTTCAGCAAACAGCTCTATTATTTGGTGCTAAAATACCGTTTGTGTGTGTGTGTTTCTGAAGAAATGAGGACAAATTGTGTCCTTGTGACAAAGTACGCAAAAGTTCGATTTAAAATGGGTCCTTTGTCAAGTTTCCAGCCGGAGAATTTCCAGAGTTTAGGAGTCTGTTAATGTCTGAATGAGTTAAGTGGAATAAGAAACCAAAACATTAGTAGAAATATTATTCAAGACCACTTTAGAAGATTATAAGAAAAGTCTGATGGTACAGACAACTTAAAGGAATGTCCAACCTAAAGAGCTTTTGTAGATTTTAGGGAAGCGTACACAAGCAGCATGGTTCAATGACAATTTTACAAATTCTGGAACGTTTCTGAAAAGATCCATCGTCATTCTTCCTCATTTGGTGTTTCTATTGTGTCAGATTTTTTCAATTGAATTAATGTCTGATCTTTGTGGGACACAACACGTTTCCCTATCACTTCCTTGTTAAACCATGCAACGGTACCTCCTGCTCTGTGGATGAAGACCCAAACACTGCTTTAACCCCCCACCTCCCTGTGAAGAGGTCAAAGGTTCAGGTTCCTCCTTTAATTTGTCACCCATCTGCGCTCGCAACCGCACAGTCAGAAAAGTGGTATCGATCTCATCTTCTAATCCGCTCAAAATCATCATTTATGGACATCTGTTGTTATGGAAACCTCAGAGGATTATGGGATAAGTACAGGTCAGCATGTAAGGCGGACTGTGACTGATCGTCAAACGGTCCGAGGAGCACAGGTCAGCGGTCTGGTCTGCAGTGGCAGGAAATGCCAGTTGGATTATGGGGTTCAGCTGATTGACAGCAGATGTGCGAAACAACAAACAGGCTGTGAAGGGTCCTGGAAATGGGGAAGGGGCAATGTGTGTGTGACGGATGACGCTGAGATAACGAGAACACACTGAAAGTATAAACCAGAAGTAGACGGATTTCTGAAAGAGGAATTCACTATGGATAAAACCCTTAAATAAAACATATCACCTCTTGCCCTGCAGCTGTGTGTAGTTACAGTGTGACCCCAATAAAGTCTACTCCTCAGCCTCCTGCTCTTATAAAAGGGGTAAATAACGACTCCCTCTCCGTTTATTACCCCCTGGGGCAGTAAAAGGCAGCTGTCTGGCTCCATTCAAATCACAGCCTGAACTGAACTCTTGGAAAAAAAAAAAATAATAATCACTCATAAAGCGCTGTCAGGTCTCACCCAGAAGGTGAAAGCAGCCAAACAAAAACTCGTGAAACAAACAGTTCTGCTTGTGCAGCTTACAGTCTTACCACATTTTTATTTCTGAAGGTTTTGCACAAAACATAATGAGGAACAGAAGCTATCGAAATAGTTTGACATCAAGTCTCTCCCAGAAACAGTAGTTCAGATCTCTTGCAGTGCCGTTTTGAAGAATGAACAGAGAGGAAATGTGACAATAACAAAAACACAAGATGTTATAGATAGCTATTTGAACAACTTCAATTTAGAGAAATAAAATTTAATTCTGAATGGACTGAGAGGCTAATAAGTCTAACAAGCTAATGGCTAGTCCAGAAAGCTAATAGTTCAACAAGCTAACAGCTAATCCAATAAGCTAACAGTTAGTAAAACATGCTAACAGCTAATCCAATCTGTCTGAGGGCTCTATTGTATGGGTACAACTTCCTGTCTGACACAGGAAGTAGCAGTTAGCACTGGCTAACTATGGTAGTGGAACACGAACCACGGTTTATTTGAAAGTCATAAAGCGCTGTTTTTGTTTTGTTTATATTTATTTAACAGCCATAAAGTTTACTAAAATAGCCTTGTGGAGTTCAGGTTCCTGCTGTGCACGGACCCAAAACAAAAAGAGTTCCTGTGAAAAGCTGTACAGTTTCCATCACCTACCTGCAGACGAGGATTTAAGAAGAATGTGGCTGAACAATGTGAACTTGAAGAAGCCACCCAAAACTGAATGTGTGCTCATTTCACTTCGTTGACAAATGGCAGACGGAGGAAAACCTGCATCCTACTTTGTTGCTGGACTACGATAAACCACTGGAGAAAAGACGCCGGATCCATAGAAGGACTGAAAACAGTGTGACGAGAATATATGATTTCAAGTGTATGGAGGGCACAGCATTATAGTATTTGTTCGTGTTTTGTATTACGATTTTATCTGAAATCAACCCAAACTCAGTGATGCAGGACTTTAAGACTTTGGCTGGGCTCTAATTTAAAGTAAATAAGAGTGTGTACTACCTCCTTTAACAAAACGCAGCCAACCTTATTAGATATGGATAGGCCTCAGAGCTTATCAGGTTGTTCATCGCTTCAATGTCGGAAGCAACTGAGTCAGTGAAGTAGCTAAATATGCTAGTAAATGTCATCTGCGGCCACTTCTTCAAGTCGTCCTCCCGTCCCTTGTCTGCAGTAGCCAGCAGTACGATTACACTGATTATATTATATATGATTACTGTATATTGTCCTGTTTGCGTTCTGACAGGTGGTTCTGGTGTTCCCACATGTTAAACCCACAACGCTTGGAGAAACTACATTAGCTCGTGCTGTTCGCACATAAACAAATCCTGGTTCTGGTCCACGCCAGAAGTCGCGCCCATAATTCACACAAGGCAGCATGGGGCCTAGGAATAAGATGGATGAGATAACAGTTAGTCCAACATTTAATAGTTCAAATAAGCCAGTGGCTAGTTTGTTCAAGGCTAAGACAGCTAAGTGTAGCCTATTTGTGCTGTAAAACATCAAACTCCATTTAAAATAAATTGTAGTTACTGGTGTTAGCAAATGAATATTTCAGCTAGGTGGCCATTTTTGCACATCACATGTGTTTACATAGATTATTTGTAAGCACGAATCGCAGTAGCAGCAGCAAGCTGTAGCACTTCCTTTGCAACCTGGGGCACCTGCAACAAGAAC